TAATGCCTAGTCCCAACTTCTCAAACCCTAATCCCTATTGTTCTCAAAATTCCCATCTTCCCCAGAAATCCACTTCTCAAGCCATGCTTGCTATTAACCCCTATTGTTCTCTGAATCCCCAACTTTCAGAGGGCAGTCAGTCTTTGTTGCTTGGAACATGTTTTTTTAACTAAACCAATTATTGACTGTAACTTTCAGTACCGCGTAAGTTGCCACAAAAATTAGGGCTTAGATGCCATTTTCAATTACCTGGATTTGGCTGTTTTTAGCTTCGATACTCAGCCAGAGTCAAGTATTACCGGGTAGCCCAATAACCACCCAGAGCCCAATACCTGGCTGGGTACCCGTGAATCCCTAATTTTGATATATACTTTTTCTTTAATATAATTTCATTCTGATTTCTTCTCTATAACATGGTTTCTTTTATTACACTTAAGTGTTATATAACAGTGCATAAATGTAATGTTTTCTTTCAGTTTCAATTCGCTTGTTTTTGTATACGTGCTGCTTCACATTCTTTTCATCTCATCTGTCCTATTTTTTCAGTACATCTGTATACATAATTTGTAGTTCCTTTATTGTTCTTAAGCCTGACAAAGGTGAAACAACCAAAACAAAGCACAAATTAGTGAACTTTTAATTATACATGCATCATTAATCTTCTTCAATAAATGTTTAATATTTTCCACATTTTGTAGGGTTTTGCCAGTCGTTTACTTTTAATACACAGTTTGAGTAATATTTAACTTATTTACACTACTGATCTGAGAAATGGTATCTAACATTACAATAATTTTGAGATTTAATAACTAATACATATTATTGATAAAGAATGGGTTGAGAGTACATGTTAGGAGAATGGCTAACAAAACAAACACTGGCTGACTGACTGTACTGATAAAACTGGTTAATTTTCTATTACTTACTGTTCTGGTGTACGATTACCTAGGACACAGTGGTTGACCACTAATCTATTTGAACTAGACTTCTGCTGAAGAATCTTACTGTGGAAAATTCCAGTAGGTTCTGTAAATAAAGAAACTTCTCCATGCAGTTTTAACCAGTATTGAAGAATGAGATAAAACTATACATAAAAACTTAAACAATTAGTATTCAAAATTATTGAAACCCTACCAAAACATCTACTGCAACATTTTAGCATGTCACACAATTTACCACACCTCCATAATGCTCATTTAATTCATTTTTCACCAAATTATTATAATCTTCAATAGAGAAATTCTCAAAGTGAAAACTAGCAAGGTTGAAAACCAATATCAATAATGAGTTGTTGGTACTTTTAACGTTTTATGACAAAAATATTACACATACGTGAAAAATCTTACTAACAAAAATGTTGGGAATTTCACGACCTTACATACTTAATACTGGCATATTCAGTAAATTTCCATTACTATGTTCATCTGCTGTTACTCCAATAATCTGAATTAACGCATCAGCTTTTTAGAATTCTATGTATGCAAACACACATGCTGAGACTATAGGGTGCCCCGAGCAATTGGGATTATGATTTTATGTGATGCTAAAAGAACTTCAAAGATTAGTTAGTACATTCTAATTTACAATCTGAAGTCACTACATGTGGAAAAAACTTACAAACTTGACCTTGATCCATAATTCTTATGTCAAAGTTCAAAACAGTATTCATTGTATAAAAATAACTACAGTAAGGTTCTGATGATCAATTGCCTAAGTCTAATTCAAACAAGTTACTAATTTCTACTTATTCAGACTCTATTACTGATGTAGATAGATAAGATTCTCTTCTATATAATCATTTTTAGTCATCAGCATTGAAAGACTGGTGTAACAAAACCACTAGCAGAGCAGGAAAATTACTTGAAAAAAACGAAATGGTAGTTTTTAAGAAGTAAAACCTATACTTTTGGAATGGGAAGAAAAATAAAATGATTGATAAATGCATTGTTTACAAAAATGAAACCTGAAAATTAACTTTTCACAGTGTTAAAAAGCCAATTCTCAAAAATATGTTTGGTAGAAATATAATTAAACTTAATTTTTTATTTGAAATACTATAAGGTTGCACAATCTTCATGATAAGGTTAAGTCCAACATTTTTCTAGGATTCACAGTATAGTATATGAAGCTGTTATGATTTAATTTCAAACTGGCCTATATATAGTCTCAATACAATTAATTTAAGATAAAACAAAAAAATACTTTGAAATTATGAACAGTTCATGAAATACAAACTTACTTAGAGAAGTTTCCCGTGTTTCTGACCTACTAAAAAGAAAGAATAGAAATTTACAGACAAAAAAAATTTATAGCGTATCTTAGTAGCAAGTGATACTTAATAATAAATATTTAACTGAAAAGAGACTACAGAAATGAGACTTGAACTCTGGACCCTTAACCACTGTATAGCATATCTTAGTAGCAAGTGACAATTAATAATAAATATTTAACTGAAAAGAGACTCCAGAATCGAGACTTGAACTCTGGACCCTTAACCACTGTATAGCATATCTTAGTAGCAAGTGACAATTAATAATAAATATTTAACTGAAAAGAGACTACAGGATTGAGACTTGAACTCTGGACCCTTAACCACTGTATAGCATATCTTAGTAGCAAGTGACAATTAATAATAAATATTTAACTGAAAAGAGACTCCAGAATCGAGACTTGAACTCTGGACCCTTAACCACTGTATAGTATATCTTAGTAGCAGGTGACAATTAATAATAAATATTTAACTGAAAAGAGACTACAGGATTGAGACTTGAACTCTGGACCCTTAACCACTGTATAGCATATCTTAGTAGCACGTGACAATTAATAATAAATATTTAACTGGAAAGAGACTACAGGATTAAGACTTGAACTCTGGAGCCTTGACCACTGAACTACCCAGGAGTAAAAGTGGTCACTGCCAACATTCACTTATAAAGCCTTCCACAATGAGTATTATGACAATTAAAGTGTAATAGTAAAGAGTATGGTCTTTGTATTTATCATAATGTAGCATGGTGATCATGGTGGCTAGCTTATAAGTGAACAATGATGGAGACCACTTGTACACCTGGATAGCTCAATAGTTAGAGCACTGTCCTTGAACTCAAGACCTCTGCCTGACAAGTCTCAGTCCTGGATTCTCTTTTCATTTACAATTTTTTTCATTTAAAATAAAAGATTCTAAATAACGGCTGAATATGGGTTTTACAGCAGAAACGTGTACAAATCAACATTAACAGTACCAACTTTGAAGATTTGTGTCTGAAGTGTAATAGTGTGGACAAAATTCTGCATATCACATAGAGTATCTGTGAGGTGTCATAAGATAAGAAGAGCTCCTTAGTGATAACATGCTTTATATTTCAGGATCCTAATTCTTTTATATGAAAAAATTTAAAATTATGCACCAAAAGTTATATGTTATGCAGCAAATTATATGTTGAAAATGCAGCAAAATTTAAAATCATAAATCCCTTCTCTGAAGTAAAAAAAAACACAAAAATACAGCTTAAAACAATAAAATTAAGAGGATGTCAAATATAATTAATGCAAATTTCACCACAAGCATGAATTTAATACATATTTCTTTTATTAAATAATAACAAACACTTCTTCAGACTTTCGAAGTCTTTTAACAACCATTAATCTGACAGTGACCAACAGTCACCATACGCCAAGCTGTTAAACAACTTCAGTAAGAACATGTAATCTATGTAGCACAAAATGGGAGTAAATTAGTCTTTACAAAATTTCTGAAAGTCTTTTTATGATTCTGTAGCACTTGTAAATACTCATCATAGCTATAATTACAAAAATAAGTTAACTTATTATCAGTTTTATTAGTTTCCCAAGTTAAATGACAGATGTTCATAAATTATGCAACTGCTAACCCTTGTAATTCTATTAGAATTACATAAGACCAAAATGCTTATTTTTATTACAATCTATATACACAAGTTTCATACTTACATATTACTAGTATTTCATATAACTACAATACAAAATAAATATCTTTTTACAACACCATAACTCTTCAGACTTTTGTATCCATTACTGAAGTTACAAATCTGTTTGAATGTTATTTAACAAATCACATGACAAGAGAGTATATTATGATACTCACAAATAACTTCATTTTCTTTTTGTTCATATTAATAAATTGATGAAAAATAAAAATAAAATACCTTTCCTTCAAACTTGTTTCTGTCTGAGTTCCACTCTTGTTCTCGGAGTCCATAACGTGGGTGGAAGTTTTCTAAAACATGTTTACATTTTACAAACAAATACACATTAAATCCCTCAGAAAACCTACATCTCACCTTAACGACTGTATCCCACTGTTAACTGGTTATCCTGTTTATCAGGTGCAAAAGTTGAGACTTTATAATATTATGTGCTTTATACTACAAGTACTGAAGCTCTATACAGCTATTAAAAAAAATTCCTAACTAAAGTTTAAACTAGTCACATAAAATTTGATAAACTTGACATTTTCTATATTTTAGATACTTTTAAGCCACATATAGTATAACAGATTTCATTTCAACACTATTTTGATCCAAAAGCTGTAAATCAATATAATTAATGACAATTTAGATACTCAACTTTACTATTAGTTTAAGATCCTAAATCTACACTGCACCCCAAAGGTCAAATTAGCACATTTCATATATTTGATACATCATTTTAAAGCATACTGAATGTAACACTGGTATGACAATCTAAAATTACATCAAGTGGTCACAAACTGTTCAGGTTCAGGGAGTAATGTAAATATAACCAATTATGTAAAGTCATAAAAAAAATGTCATCAACTAATCTGGCAACTTTAAAACTCAGACTTATCTTATGTAAGTATACACACAGTAATGAAAATAATTATGGAAACACAGGTAATATGCATACAAGTCACAATGTTTGCAACTAAATAGTCAATTTATCATTAGTATAATACATTGTTAGTGAAAAAAATAAATAAATAAGTTATACAGTATTCTTTATGTAATTCAAAAAAGCAGTACACCTTGTTTATTATGTCAACAAAAGTTTAGCAATATATGCTTGTGAAATACTGTTCCAGATAACCTTACTACCCCAAAAAACTCAGCCAGGTTGCTTGTTTGCCATTTGACCCTCTCAATTTCCATATAAGCCAAAAAAGGCAATATTCACATCAGGACAATGTACAGCCATAAATGTGAGCATTACATTGATATATTTTTCCTTCCAAGTATTGTTACACTACATTTGCTGCTTGCAATCACTGCCAAACAAATCTTGTTCCTAAAGGCATGACATGACAGATACGAACCTTCTTGTTCTTGTCAGCAGTCAGGGTGATATCAACACGATTTGTTAACATACAACCCACAGTTGTACCCTCAGCAAGTTTCACATACTTCACACTGAATATTCTCCTCTCTGTCATTAGACAATTTTTAATTGTTGCAAGCAAACTGAATCTGATTCATCTGAAAAGAGCAACCACCTCCAGCTTTGCTCAATTCCTTGTTTGAAGTCTGATGCCCATTTAAACACTTTGGTTTGTTTCCTTTCTTAAGCACTGGCATTTGAAAAGCTAAAATCACCAAGATCACTTCGTGCTATTGTGTATATTGTTCTGAAATTAATTTTTATACTTGTACTTAAAGCAAGATCACTAGCAAGATCTCAACTGAACTGTTATATATTACATAGCCAGCATACCAATTACTTAACATCATTTTTGAATATTTGGGATTTCTACCTCAACTGTTTCTATTATTAGCATTACTAGTTTTACCCACCTTCTTCAGAGCTTATATTCAGCTGCTATTGAAACAATCTAAACCACCAACATCACTGTACATTTGGGCAATACATGGAACATCAATCCCATAATATTAGCATTTTATACCCATTTTATTCAGTTTCCATAAATATTTCCAATTCTGTATAAAAATACACATACAATTCAATCTCTTTAAAAATCTATCAATATTCTGATCTTTCTCCTATTTTTACATTCCTATATTTTCCATTTGATTGTTTGATAAAGTTTCCACTCTTTGCCCATCTCAGACACAACAAATTTATTACTGTTTAGATGCATCTCAAATTGTGATAAACTTATCATGCCTAAAATGGGCAAAGAGTGAAAACTCTGTCGAATAATCAAATGTCTATATTTTCCAGCCCTCATAATAAATTATTTTCAAACAAGTTCAGCCCAAATTATAATTTTTTTTTAGGCAACTGTGTATAAAGATTATACGGTGTTTCAAAATAATTTTCTGCTAAGGGGTACTTGGGTACAAGTGTAAACTGATTATACATTTTTCTATTTATTTTCTAAAACAGTGTATTAAAACCCTAAAAGTAAAAGAATAATAATTTCCTCTTGCTATTTTCATGGTTAGAACAATTTTCCACATACAAATAAGTATCAATTTTGTTTTTCATCCTAAACTATCTCCCACTTAAGATAACCATAAAATGATTATCTGGTTCCGTAAAGGTTGAAGCTGAAAAACATAACCATACCCCAGCACCCATTTGCTGCTTCCTTTGTTTCCTGTACCAAATAGTCTTGAACAAATCAAGTCGTTTTCCTTTGTACCGAATCTAGAAATACAGAACAAATCATGATGGTTCTTTTTTAATATAAATACTGTTATTGCATAGAGAAAACAACCAAACATATATATATATATATATTACAATAACTTAAGTTGTCACTGTTGCTAATTCCACTTAAAATTACAAAGATGTCTGGATCTTTACTGATATAAGTTGTTTTTCTTGTGTAACTAAAATAGTGTTTACTAATACCAGGTTCTTATTCTAATGCATTTATTAATAAAATTATAGCAAAAACATACGTTAATGATAAACAGTGGTATTATCTTTTACAGTACTTAATATCATAGCAAATATCTATAAAAATATGGACACCATACACAGAAACCAGTATTTAATTTACTTAGGTAAGTATTTCATTATAAATAATTTTTAATGTTGAAGGTGAGATACTGTAACAGTAATTTGTGTGTACCTACATAATTATTAAGGCTACATATTCTTAATCTCAAACAATCATCTAATTAACTAGCTGGTGAAATAGAATTACCTTTTTTGTGTTTAGCACAAGATAATAAATCAATCAAAATATTACGACTCCATCACAGCAAGCTTTCAGCTCATGTATCAGAGCCTTTGACAAGTAACTGCATAGTGAACAATGCTTAATAACAGAGTAACAAACAAGCATTCAAAAGAAAGGTTAATGTTCCTCTGAAAGTCAAATAAATAAATAAAACATGATGTTCCAGATAAATGTTTTGAAGAAGTGCATTTGTCCAAAACATCAAGTATTAATATCTTTCTTAGGTCATACAAACTGTGTCTTGGCAATGGATATTACTGTATAATTTGATCATATCATTAAACCACATTATGAGTTTTAAACAGTAGGTAATGAATGTTGCTTCTCACATAACTGTTGGTTTTTAAAATTCATATATATATTTAATAATAGAACAGCACCTGCTTAAGCTGTCCCATAATGCATAAAATAGCCATTACACCAAATAAATTCTGCCAAATCTCTTAGTGTAAACACTTGTAACTGATTGTAACAAAACTTAAAAATTGGTAGTATTAAACTATAGGTTGTTGTAAATGTATTAGAAATGATGAATAACTGTTTTTGTGCAACTGGAAGTGTAAATAAAAAATCTCTGTTAGATATTAGGCATTTATTAGAAGCTGTGAATCTCTTTGTTTTCCCTAATATCTCACATTTAAAGCAAGCTCAAATTCAATGCAAGTCTTTATTTATAACATTTTGAAAGTTAAGTCTTATGTAAAATTATGTTTTCAGAAAAAAAAATATTCAAATTCAAATAACAGTTCTCTAGAATCTAAAATTTATGATAAGCCTACATACTACTAATTTTTATTGTAAGTTACTCCAAAGCTGGAAGCAAATGTCTTATCAGTAATAAAGCATCCCTAGTGTTAAAATCTTTAGTTATGTATGTGGTTAACCTGATATGTGATGAATTCAAATTCTCAAACTTAATTCCTATAATATAATATCACACATTATACAAATGTTTACTCAATAAAGATGGCCTGTCATATTTTGAGGTGACAAAATTTTGGGTTTGTAGCATTCACTATGCTTCTAAATTTGTATATGAACAAAAGTTTATTAAAATCCTGATTTAAAAAAGGTAAAGAAAGAAAACATGAAAGATTATTAGGGATGTTCTTAAAAATAATACATGGGCTTGTTGGACCTTTCGGTAGTTTTCAGAGTAATGGTGAATCGATTGACAGAGAGGCTCCATTTAAGAACATTAGGTAGACGGATGTTTTAGGAAACCCTAAATATATCAATTAAAAGATAGTTTTGACAGAATTTGAATAGTAGTGAAGAAGCTTAATAATTAGCAATAAACAACTTGATAGGATAGGTAGGACAATGAAGAGATTTAGAATATATAAAATTATAGCACTTTTAAAGATAAGCATAGTAGATTCAAGCTTAGTTGCAATTACTCTAATGACAGAAATATCAGGAGGAAAAGAGTGAATACAGGGTCCTAGTTGAGTCATATTCAGATTTTAATTAAACTACTATCAATGTATTTTAATGAAATTATAATTATGTAAGTTATAATTCAAAGTTTTATATATTTTTAATCCTTATTTCAAAAGAAACCTCTAAAACAATAATTAAAATTTCAATTTTGTTGTCGACTCATTTTTTGGGAAATGCAACTTAATGATAGAGCAAAACACAAACATGATAATAGGAAGCATTTATTAAATGTTTCAGAATCATCAAAATTCCATCATCAGTAATCTAGAGATTACAAGACAAACAAAATATTCATAATTACAACAGAAATATGAATACATAAGAAGTAAACATTTTCAACATACAAATTACAACAAAAGAAAGTGAAAAAAATGTGGCACAAAAGAAATAGTTAAATTAAAATAGATTTAAATCAAGTGAAGAATGTGTATTATTTAAGGAAGAAAGAAGAGTTTTTATGTATAATGTTTATTTTATGAGACATTCAGTATCATGTTTGGCTATTGAGAGAATTTTAAAGTTGAAGAGGGAAATTGGATGTCCTGTTTCTCTATTGTGCTGATAAATAGGGGAATTGGGAGGGTTTGTAACCTTTCTTCCAGTCTTTATAGATATGCCCATGTGTTCACACGCTCATTCTTTAAGGTGACATTTGGTTTCACCAATATAGGAGGATTTACAGTCTCCACACATATATAAGTTAATGAGATGCGAACAATGGTCAGTTGGCAAACAATCTTTGTAGCAGAAAAAAAATTTTTTAGTCTGAATAATTTTCATTCATAATAACTTTCAGGTCAATTTGGGGATAGTTAAAGTTGCATAATTTTTTCAGCCCTATCGTGATAAGGGAGCTCTGTCTCCCAAGATATGGTAAGTTGGTTAACTATTTCATTTGTGCCACATTTTTTCATGTTATGATTTGTATATTCAAATTGTTTCCTCCTTATGTATATCATATTTCTGTTGTAATTACAAATATTGTTTTTTTGTTTTGTACCTCTAGATTACTGATGATGGAATTTTGATGATTCTGAAGTGTTTAATACATGCTTCCTATTATCCGGTTCGTGTTTTGTTGTCACTTGATGCACTCGCAGTTAAAAACATCTTAACTTTAATTTCTTCTGTGTCAGCTTTACTGCGCGTAATGCAGACATTTTCATGCAGATGATCAAAGTACACGTATACAGCTTGTTTAACAGTTACTTGAGTCAAAATCCAAAACTGGGGTCAAAATAAAACATTGTAAACATTCTTCCATTCAATATAGCCACACCCACTTTCAAAAGTATAAATGGTGTTGCTAAGCAAGTTTTAATGTGAATGGCATGCTTCTAACCAATAGAAAGAGCAGATTTCACACAATAATGTCTCATGGTTACCAGGAAAATGACACAATATATAAGTTTACAAACGTAATCAAACTAGCGCTAAGTCCATTGTTGGAGATCTTGTCCATAGCACTTGGACATACATATAAGTTTGATAGACAGTTAAACTGCATTTAGGTTTTACCTTTATATTTTAGTTAATTATGTATTACTTGTGTTTTAAAATTCATAATCGAAAGGTTTCATGATTTTTAAAATATATTCTACACTTCGCCTTGCCAACAAGTGTTACATAACTAAGTGAGTGCAAAAAATTTTCCCGGAGGTTAAACTGTCCTTGCCGATGGTAACACTATATCACCTGCAGGCTCCTACTGACATGTCAACATAAATAATCAAAGATAAAGAACATGAAAGGAAAATAAAACATTCAAAATAAACTATAAGTGAAGAGGTAAAGATGTGAAACTATGCACGACCCAAAGAAGATAATATTTTTAGATTATCCAACACTTAGATAAAAGTTACGTATATATTTCCATTTCTTATTTTTAAACAATTCAATACACTATACATTGACGATAATAGCAACTGTTAGTGATATGATAGAGAAATTGGAAAATTAAATATAAAGATTTACCTTAAAAAACTTTAAATATTCTTTTATGAAGTTCTAGAAATTATGCAAGTAAAATGAGAAAACTGTAAGATAAAAAATAGTATTTTTTTGTACTTGACATGAAAATCAAATTTTTAGTTGAAATAGAATTCGAAATAAATCTAAATTACCCTTTTTTCTTTCAAGAATAACTTTAAATTGTAGTATGAAATTATATTTGTTTATCCTAAGTAGCATTAAACTAATAACAATATGCATCTTTTTATACTTAAATTTTATTGTTTTACTGTCCTTTGCACTGTGTCAAATTAATATTACCAGCTAACTTAGTGCAGGTGTAGCTCACGTTACCCATCAAATTACGTAATGCACATGCTACTTGTAAGTTGCTCGCGAGCATAACTCATGAACAATCTTTGTTTTTGTTCCTAATCTAACCCCTGAAACATTTCTAATTTTTATATTTTATAATGATAAATAAATAATACACAAGAAAAATAAGAAATAAGGTACTTACCTGGATCTCCTTTTTTTTGCTGACAACTGTCGATGAAACTTAATCCTAATTTTTCATATTAATGGTGCTACTGCTCTAAATAATGTTTCATTTAATTAAATAATGCACCAAAGAACATAGAATAATATCATGCAAAAAACAGACAATCTCCCATAACTATCACAAATTTTTTGGCTTTCTAATTATGCAACAAGAGCCATTAAAAATTCCGATAAGTTCATCGATGTGTTTCCCATGGAAGTAAAGTTTGAACTGGAAGCGAAATAGACAATTCTCTGTACAAAAAACAATGTAATATAACACATCAATTGATAGATTAAAACCTTGGCTTTCTATTGGTTATAACTAATACAGTATTGTACAATATTAAAACTTGGGATATTAACTATGTTTTGATGCCAAGTTTTTTGGATACCATGATAATAAAGAACTTTAATTAAATTAGGAACATAACTCACTAAAACCTTGTGATGTGCAAAAAAATATACCCATAATAACAGTGTCAATGGTAATTTTGATTAATTGATTATTTTACAGGATACTACTCAACATAGTCAATGCTCATAGCTACTCGAATCTATTAATTAAATGAGTTTAACTCCCAATTCTACTCTCTATATATAAATCACTAGTTAGGCCTCATTTGGAATTCTGTGTACAACTTTGGTCCACTTATTTTGATAAGGACATGTTGGAAAGGTTTCAGAAGAGAGCTATCATAATGATTCTTAGGATGGAAATTTATCTTGATAATAAATATGATTCACTTCCTTAATCTAACTCACACCCTCGTTACTATGTGTATATATATGTATTCCAGCTGGCCTGTTGAGCCCTAGTATTCAGCAAAATGCCTTTTGGCACTGGATATAGCAGATGTAGTGTTGTTGATGTATAACATATTCTTCTTTAGTCTCCTTCATGGATTCTTAGAATTATAGGCTTGGAAGAGTAAAAAAAAAAGGAAATTTTATTGAAGTTTAATAGATTATCTGAGGGATCTTTCTTGCTATATTCTGAAGTTAGTAGGATATTATGAATTATGATTAGAGCTGGGTAATTAGAGAATTTGATTATCAATTAACCATCAGACTCATTAACTAATTATAATCAACTAATCAATTGTTCTCTCAAGACTTGGATTGTTATAATAATCAAAAACAGTTATAATTAGAAACTTAATTTCGATTAGTTGATTATTTTCAGGAGTGATGAAACTAATCAATTAATCTGGTCAAAATTGAATTTATCTAAAATAATAATAATGGCAGTATTTTAATTATTGAATAATTATGTTAATCAAAAACGGTAACAATCAGAAACACAAATACTGTTAGTTGAATATTTTCACAATGCTAACTGATGTAATCAATGCTTAAAAAGTAATTGATTATACTGATTAATTGTCCAGCTCTAGTGATAACACAAGTTTAACATACAGAAAAGATAAATCAGGTTTCAATTAAGACAGTTTTATTTTTCTAACATGGTGACTAGCTTATAAAATGAATTGCCAACAGCAGTAGTGTAAGCCTGCAAGTTCAGAGAAGTTTAAAAGGGGAATTCATGATTTCCCAAATAATTAAATGTGAATTTAAACTTTTACTTTTCTCAATAGTGGTTATACATAAAAACCCTTGTAGGGCCAAATGATCCTTGTTGTTTATATATTATTTCTGAATTTTACTCATATTCGTCAAAATTAAAATATGATTTTTATAGAAATTCCTTTGTAAAGCATTTTTAACGTGTTTAGTTAACTGAAATTAAGCATATGCAAAACTGTGTCATTAATAAAGTGAATTATACAAGTTTTTTAATCAATTAAAATTTCTACATTACAAATAAAAGTATCAGTAATCAAATTTATATTAAACATATTTCAAGTACCATTTAGCAAAAATTAGGGGTAAATTTAGGAATTTATGGGTTATTTATGATTTTCTTAGGGCACTTTCCCAAACAACTGCATTAGAAGTTTACTTTATTTCCAAATAAATAGGAATAAATATATTCATAAACATAACTTATTTTGCTTCTTAACTCTTTCCCTCTGAATCCTAGTCTTCAGCACTGGTTACTGTTGCACACTTCATACACATTAAAAAGGTTAAAGAGAACTACTAATATTTATTTCTGAAGTAAGCTGGTGATGAAGCTGAAGATGAGGATTCAAAGGAAAATCTTTCTTGAAATAGAACCTGTATAATATATAGCTAAAAACACTTAAATAGATATTTAAATAGAAACATGCAACAAACAAACATTTCTTTATATAATTCACTTTTTCACTAAGAGACATAGAAAATGTAGAAAGAATTTCAATTTTTTTACAAAAGAAAACATTAACAAATTTTAACAAGATCCCCAAAACCTAGGAATTTTAAGGACACTTCAAAGCCTGTTATTATTAAAAAAATGAGATACAAAACTATAAGATAGTATAATAGCCATAAAACATATCAATGAACTTGTTTGTATCAAAGTACAATCCACCAACAAAATAAGTTAAGAAAAAACTAAAATTTGGGATAACTATTTGACTAAATAATAATATTAATAAAACATTAGTAAAAATTAAGATGCATAACTTATAGAACCAGCAGATAAGTATTAGTACTAATAAAGCAGAGATTGAGTGAATTTTTTATAAAGATTTAAGTTCGAGTGGTTTCCAGCAGAAACTTCTATACTTAAAAAAAA